GTCCAGCGAGATGACGTGCGAGCAAGATGTTCTTCTTGTTGTTTACCCGTTCCCACAATAGGTTTCAACGTTCTTGATTCTTTTTCTCCCACATTTTCAAGAGATGGATTTTTCTGATTGAATTTCCGATATTTCGACTGCTGTCTTTCCACCTTTAAGGCTAAGCTAGTGAGATCTTGAAAAGTCCAATAGGATTGTAGTTATACCACATTGGCAATTGACGGGTGTAACCCGGATACAAATCGGGCCATGGTATGTTCCTCTGGTTCCACAATATCACACTTAAGGGATAATTGCTCAAATTCGGCTGTGTATTCTTCCACTGTCATCTGTTGTTGTTGAAGTTGTGTGAATTTTAAAAAAATATCTTGTTTATACTGATCTGGAATATACTTCCTTTGTAGCTCTTTCTTCATCTTGGTCCAGGTAGTAATCTTGGTTTTTCCTTCACCTGCTCTTAACCGCTTAATGTTTTCCCACCAAAGTGATGTAGCGCGCTTGAGTTTAATCGCAACCAGTTTCACGATTCGGTCACCAGGTATTTCTTTAAAATCAAGAATTCTTTCTACAGTCTGTAACCACTGAATGAATTCGTCTGGATCCAGTCGTCTGTCGAATTCAGGAAGTTCCAGTTTAATCCCACAATCAAGATTCATCTTCTTGATCCTTCGCTCCACAGGACGTCTTCCATTGTCTTCATCACTAGAACTTTCTTGATGGAATGGATTAACGTCTTCCTCCATGTTTTGGCTTGCTGCTTGGTCTCTCTGTTCAAATCTAGCTAATCGTTGTTGTAATTGCGCAATTTCCCGCTGCAAATCTTCTACCAAGATTTCTTGAACAGGTCTCTGCACATTCCGTCGAGGCGGCATTGTTGCCGGCTCTGATACCACTTGACTCCGGACTCTTCAAAGAAATGGTCGCGGATCGTACCTGGAAGCGAGAGTCTTCGCACTCCAGCCTCTGTCGATGAACAAAGAAGCTCGATCAACTTCCAATCCAAGAAGTTGATGACGAGAAGTCCTGTACAAAACAAATTCGTCCAAACTAGTTTTATCACCACCAGTGAAAACACTGGATACAGAACAATTCCAGAGGAATCGATGTTAGGGAAAACAATTCAACCGCTTATTATTTCTCAGGGCAAGTTATTTATACAATTGTTTTAGTTCTATAATGTGCTACAGTAAAAACGCTACAGTAAAAGCAATACAAAGACTAAGAAGAATAGACTCTGCTGAAGTTGCCCTGTAAGTGATTGCGATCAGCTCCGGCGTCAATGCTATTTGTTTTACCTTCTTTTCCGTAGTTTTATCACGGGCTTTTGATATCTATTTAAATTCATAACCTTGACTGCATTAGCGTCCATTCTTTCTGGGTTCAATATCTCATAAAGAAGACTGCTGCAAGCACGAACCTCAGATCAGTATTGTTTCATTTTTTAGACTAGTTTACCTGAGCTAGTACATTTTTAATTCTTGTCAAGCTAGCTGCTCGCATTAATGAATTGACTTTACCGACTATTGGAAAAACTTCAACCATGAAATCTTTTGAATTCTCCATTCACTGACTAACCACCTTTGCCCTTTGGCTCTCTTCTCATTTAACTTTTCTTATGAATAATGTTAAGCGACCAAGTAATACTTCTGTTTGGGATATGCGAAGTTTTCTGTAGGATAACCATGACCATTTGAAAATTAGCATCTAAAAAGTGCATGCTGAACTTAAATGCCAATCTTGCTTATATGAAATTCACCATTTGATGTCTGACAGCACCCTTGGACAAGGACTTATTACAAGCACATATCCTGGAGAAGTTTTCTACTCCATAGCACTTTCAATACTCGGACTCATTCTCTTTGCCCTCCTTATTGGCAATATGCAGGTAAAATGGATTATTCTTTTTTAAGGAAAGTAAGTTTTTACTGTGTACTAGGTTTTCAAATGCCAATTGATGTCTGATAAGTGGTCAAGACTAATGCCTTGGAGCATTTTCCTAGATGGTCAAGACTAGTGGCTTTGAAGCTTTTTTGGTGTAAATATATTCTATGTTTTGGTCTAGGAAAATTTTCTTGTAATAACCCTTTTGAATGATTATTTCAGACCTATCTTCAGTCATTGACAATTAGAGTGGAAGAGATGAGGGTAAAAAGACGTGACTCAGAGCAGTGGATGCATCACCGCTTACTCCCACAGGAACTTAGGGAACGTGTAAGGCGATACGATCAGTACAAGTGGCAGGAGACACGAGGTGTGGATGAAGAAAATTTGGTCCAGAGCCTTCCTGCAGACCTAAGAAGAGATATCAAACGTCATCTTTGTTTGGCTTTGGTTAGAAGGGTAAGATATCATTCAGCTGTGCTGGACTGAAACTGATGTCTATGAAGAAGTTTTTCCATAATGATTTTTGAAATCCTTATTATTTATCCTGGTCATCTGGGAATGAATTTTTTAAGATACCTTGTTTTATTTTATTTTAGTTTATGGAATTCCGTATGTTAAATGTTTTTCTCCTAGTTATTTTATTCATATGCTGGGTTTAAGTTTTTTACAACAATCCTTATTGAAAAGGAAGCCTTAAATCTTGGAGAATCATAATCACAACTAGCCAAAATTGGAAATGATAATAATGACAAGCAAAATATGAATTATTTTAATTTAATTCCTGCAAAATAATGATTTTAATTTCATTTTTTCTATAAGGAGTAAATTCTTATAGTTTCCCTAGAACTATTGAATACATATTTTTATCATTCCCAGCTTGTCAACATGTTCGTTGATGTTTGATCTAGGAAAAACCTTTGTTATCATATCTGCTACTTGCTATTTTGTAGAAACATATGTCATTCAAATAACTATTTCCTTAGTCTTTTATTTTGATAAGGTACCTACCCACTTTAACATGTTTTGTTCAATAATATAGGATTTTCTGCAATCTTGTATGCAGCCATGCTTTCATACATTAGATGTATACTTATGATATAGTGGTCCTAATGTTTGGAAGAGTGGTGAATGGGAAGAACACAAACAACAACAAAAATAAAGAGGATAGCCCACTAAGCTTGCCACCAAGCTAAGTTTGGGAAAAGAGAACTCTCAATTTGTATTCAAGATATGATGCTTACATTCTAGATTTTCTTCTCTATTTATTGATTTGAACATCATTAAGAATATTACAAGATAAAGAATCTGAAGGTTACATAAGCACATGAAAAGTTACCCCCATGAAGTTCATGGCTGGCCGCTTAAATATATGATATAAAATATCAGCCTCTGTATCTTTCAACTCCACATTTATGGGTCTAAGAGGATGATGCTTGACTTGGACAATTTCTCTTTGTATTATAGCCAATAATTTCAAGTTCTCCCATTGTAATAATGTGTGATGTAACTCCTTGATTCTTCATATAAATGAAGTTTACATGCAATTCCTACCTATATAGTCGTCCCTAGCTTGCTCCAAATGTCCATATTGACCTTAGGTAGGATGACCCAGGCAAGAATGTAAAAATAGTAATGAATTCCCATGCAATGTGGTGAAAACATATCTTCACATACATATCATTATTCTATTCGTTTCCACACTCGCAATGATAACACAATTACATGAATATAAATGAAATAACATGACCATATAAAAATAAATATTAAAATAAAAGGGCTATTTTAGGATTACATGATAATACAAAGATATTGTAATTACGCGACACTTGTTTAGGAGGTCATCCATTTAGCCAAACCAATGTCTTTCACTCTTCTATCTCTTATTCTTATGCTTCATGATATACTTTCAATTCTTCTATTAATCATTATAGTTGGATTACTTTATCTTAAGGGACTGTTTGGTTGGAAGTAAAATAGGTGTGCAATATTTCTTTTGCATGGGTTTTGAAAATGTTGGTGTTTGATTGGATGAAAAAGAAATGCTTCGTTAAGTATTCTAAATATAATTTAAAGAATCCTAGTTCATTTTTGAGGTAAAGTAAACTTGCCCAATTTGAGTGAAACTGTTTCATCGCAATCAAGTTACCTTGTTAACACTCCCGTAATGTGCTATCGCCCCCCACCACGGCACGCCAGCTCCACCGGCATCACTGCCACTAGCTACCGCCCCCGCTGGTCGCTTCTTGCACCTGCCGACCACCACCATTGTTAGTGTCACTGGCCAACACTATCGCACCATCACCATTGGCGGACCACGACCATTTTGAACTTTACACGACATTCATTTTACTTCAAGCCAAACAAAAAAATGTAATCTCATTCCTTTTACACTTATCCAAACAACTTCAAACATTTTAAATATATTATACTTTTTTAACACTACATTCCTCTTTTACTTTGCATTCTTTTTTTGGCAAACCAAAAAACTCGTAAGCAAATCCTCTAAATTCATCCTATCCACTTTTGTGCGAAACGTCAAATTATTTCTTGTTTTCCCAAGTGGTTAGATTTCCCTATACTTTAGTACAATAGACTATGTGAGCCTACTGTAATCGATAGATCTTTGTCTAATCTAAACATGGAAGCACTTAAATGCTCCTTTGTTCAATTTTTACTCAAGATCTTATAAATAATGCTATGATGATTTTCAGATGGAGAATTTCTCTATGAACATACTACAGTAACTCCAAAGGCATTATCTGGCCTTATGTGAGAAGGCAACGAGCAAGGTGCCTGCCCTGATAATCTATATTCTAACACATTCATTTAAAATCAACAACCGAATCTATATTAAAATATAGTTTGTAGTTAAAAATAATTATCATACGATCTTTTTGATGTGTAGCATATATCAGTCAACTACTCAATATCCACTAATATAACTTATAACGAGCCCCAAGAATATGTGTCATTAAAAATTTCTCATTAATACATTAAAAAAAATTGATTGTAGTGACCTTAGCATCTTAAATGAAAATAAAAATTTCTGTTTTTATCAGCGTATTAGTAAAATCAAAGTTAGAGAGGCTTTAAACAAAATGAAGGGTGGAAAAGCTGTTGGACCTGATGATATTCCAATAGAGGTGTGGAAATGCTTATGGGATGAAGAAATTTTTTGATACTATTTTGAAGACTAAAAAAATGTCATATGAGTGGAGAATGAGTGTGTTAATTCCTATTTTTAAGAATAAAGGTGATGCACAAGATTGTGCGAATTATAGAGGAACTAAGTTAATGTGTCATAGTTTAAAACTATGGGAGCGAGTTATGGAGCATAGGTTGCGGCGTGATACTAATGTTTCTCAAAATCAATTTGGATTCATACCGGGTAGGTCGACTATGGAGTCCAATGTCGGGTATTTACTTCAAGATTTATGTAAGTCTTAATATATATAGCATGAGGCGTAAGCCTCATGCCAGTGAGGCGAGGCGGGCCTCAAGGCGAGCCTCATATTGCGCAATTTTACTAGAGGTGTGGAAATGCTTATGGGATGAACTTTATCATATGCTTTTTTTACTAGAATTGCGCAAAGGCGGGCCTCAAGTATTTCCCTATTTCGGTTGGATTACATCAAGGTTCAGCCTTAAGCCCATATCTTTTTGCTTTAGTCATGGATGTTCTCACTAGACATTTGCAAGAGGATGTACCTTGCTGTATGCTTTTTGCTGATGATATTCTTCTTTTTGATAAGACTAGAGAGGGAGTTGAAGGTAAACTTGAATTATGGAGGTCAACCTTAGAGTCTAAAGATTTTCGCTTGAGTACATCTAAAACGGAATATATGGAGTGTAAATTTAGTAGTAATAGACCTAGTGAGGGGATTGTGACTTTGGGCGATCAAGTCATTAATAAGAGTATATGTTTTAGATATCTTTGATCTATTGTTCAGAGTGATGGTGAAATAGATGGGGATATTATCAGCAGAATTCAAGTTGGATGGTTGAAGTGGATGAATGCATCGGGCTTGTTGTGTGATAAAAAAGTATCACTCAAACTTAAGGGAAAATTCTATAAGATGGTAGTGAGGCTCGCAATGCTTTATAGTGTAGAATGTTGGCCATTAAAAGAGAAGCATAATACTAAGTTAAGTGTGGCAGAGATGAGGATGCTCAGGTGGATGAGTGGCTTTACCCTTAGAGATAGGATACGAAATGAGCTTATACGTGAAAAGGTTGGGGTAGCTCCAGTAGAAGATAAGATTAGAGAGAGTCGCCTTAGATGGTTTGGTCACATAAAATGGCGGCCTTCCGATGACCCGGTTAGGAAAATAGAGGTATTAGATTTGACTTATGTTAAGATAGGTAGAGGCAGACCTAAAAAGATTTGGTTAGAAAATATTAGAAATGATCTTTTTTTATTAGATTTAAACGAGAATTTGACTTTTAATATAACACAATGGAGAAAAATGATTCATGTAGCCGACCCCATGTAGTGGGATAAAGGCTTGATGTTGTTATAATACATAAAAAAGATCATTAATATTTGAAAAAAGCCCCAAGAATATATGATAAATTAAATAATATGACATTCATCATTAATTTATGGCATTGATATACTACTCTTAAGAGCATATTTATATATTGTATTTTAGTCTTTATTTTATGGATTTTACATATTGTTTTTATAAAAAATATTTAATAATTTGTATATTGGAGGATTTACATACATATCATAGTATTCTTATGTATTTACATACCTAACATCATCATCTTTATATTTATTTATATAACACTAATATTTAAATCACATAAAAATAATGCATAAAAAATGTATTTCACTTTGTGTAAGTTAATGTTAATGTTATTTTTTTTAAGTTAATGTTAATGTTATTTTTTATGTGATTTATATATTAGGGTATTATATAAGTAAATATAAAAATTTAGATGTTAAATATGTAAACTTGCATGTGAACACATCAATTCATCTGCAAACATATACAATGTAGCATATAATAAATCCGAACATTTGCTGCCAATGACAGAAGGTCCGTTGTATGCTCAATAACTTGTCTACAGTTGATAACCAGCAACAGCAATGAATGTTACAATGCGCTTGTAGTCAATGACCATGCAATGGCAGTTAAATACACTGGTCCTTTGTAAACAAAGGTTGATGACGTGTAGTGAATGCAAGCACTTGTGAGCTGCCGTAGGAAACTCTTTATACACCCAATATTCTGTCTACAAATAAGATGCGAAAGAAATGCAGCAAATGCAAGCTACTACAAGCCACTGTAAGAGGCTCATCATACATAAAGTCGTCCACCTACGAGTGATGACAAACAACATGTAGTAAATGTTAAGGACATCTTTGCAGTCAATAAGAATTCAGTATTAAACAATTACATTAATCCCTTACAAGCAAATTCGATATGTTGTTAAATAATGCCATCGGATTCTCAATACTCACGCCGCCGGATAGAATGCATCTACAAGCTCTAAAATAGAGCATCACGCACGTTCAAATGACAGTTGTCTGCACAAGTGATCAACATTAAACAATTTAAAATACCCCCACACATAAATTGCAACCTGTATACACACAAATACAAAAGTGCACACGCAAATGCCTCAATGCATGGATGAAAGTATAATTGTACATGCGAATGTGTAAGCATCATACATGAATATGCATGTACAATCGGATCTGCATGGCTCAGCGAGCGTTTTAAGGGTACACACGTGACGTCTGAGGATGCTACACGGGCATGATCCTTCTATGCAAATAAATAAGAGTTGACATGGCTCTAACTATCAAACAAATATATGATCACGACGTCGATCGAGATACTTATTTTAATATGTTCATATTAGGCCTTCAAGGTCTATGTAACCAGGAAAATTCATTAATAAAAGCATAAAGCCAATGACGAACCCAATCCTCTGTCAGCAAGTTGAAAGAGTCGACAAAGTTCAATCAATAAAATGAAAACTGCCCATAAATATCTCGATGATGGCCGTGTTGAATGCAAATATCAACCAAAGGAGTTAACTCCAAATATTCAAATACTCATAAAAATTCAAAACTTCAAAAACATCCAAACCCGAAATATTTAAAATTGAAATTAACCATCAAAATGCTTAAAGGCAAATTTATCCACCCTCCGCAATAGTTTATCAAAGTTGACAAATCTTAAAACTACTCAACTCACGAAGAGCTAATATCTTGTCGAGAATATCAATATGATTCATTTTCAATCCGTCTCATGCCAGTAAGGACGTGACATTGGTCCTCTGACCGGCGATTTGGCTAAATGTCTCTGCAAATAACTCGTGGTTTGGTCAGATGGCTCCACGTGGTTAATGATTACGATCACGATCCTTTAACCTCGTGGTTTGGTCCAACGACTTCACTGTATTACGGCTATGTTTACATCCCGCATACTCCTCAATGGCTTCAAATCCTTGAGATATGAATAAATAAAATATAATCGATAGGGCACAAAACTCTCTATTAGCTAAAGTGGATTCAAATTTATCCCCTTAAACGAACATCCACCCCAGGGCTATAAGGTACCATTGGAAGACACAACCAATGGTTGTTGACAAGTTAGGTTGGGTCGACTACATCCTCTAACCAAGTATATCAGGGACCATGATGACCCGGAGCGACAAAAGTATGGAATCTTGATCGGGTTCATCATCATTGCCCCCACCATTCGCTTTAAGTGGAAGATGGTGAAATTTTCAATTTTAAATATTAAATTTTCAAATACCAACGCATGCCGCTATTATATGCCAGGTACCCTGTATCTGATTGACTTCTAACCTTAATCGAAAGTTCTCTCATTATCGGGAGGGGTAATTAACTATAGGGGTTTGCGCCTATAGGAAACCAGAACTCATATCATAAAGTCCTCGCAAAATGTGGGTGAAATCTTTGGGTAGTGACTTATCTACAAACCCAATCTGCTTTCTAAAAATTTACCTCGAAACTTAATTCATTAAAACTCCCCCGAAAGCATGGAGGCCGGGGCACAAATTTTTGGAGCCCATAGTTACTTGATAATACTTTTGATTAAACTAGTGATTTTCTTATATCATTAAAATATTGACAAATATGTTTACTTTTGAGTTTAAGAAATTCTTGTTCAAAGATTAGTTCTTTGGGAATTTCAAGGGTGATGTGATTCACTTTAAATCAGATTTTTAAGAATATAAGCCAAATGGAGAAAAATGTAGGAGCACTTGATTCTGAGACTCAGAGGTGCTTATCATCACTAAGGGGGTCTTCATTTTAGTCATTGTCGTACAAAATTTCTCTCCCCTACCTCATCACGTATGGAGTCCAATGCCTCCCAATCTACTTCATTTATTTCAGTCATCTTCTTCTTCCTTGAATCTTTGTCATCAACTTAAATGTGAGAGCAAGGTTTCAAATTGAACAATTAGGTATTAAAGCATTTTCCGTTCGTAAGCTAAGGCGTAAGCCTCAAGTCATTTTGGTGGCATAAGCCTCAAAATAAAAAATTGTGTATAGTGAAAATGAAAGTCAAATGTGATTTTTTTATGATAATCAAATAATATGTTAAAATTATGATATATTAACTTTTTATTGAATTATGAAGTAACATATTAACATACTTATGAAATAAAAAATTGCACAAGATATAAAATGTGATAAATTGCATTAAATATAATTAAAATCCAAACATCATGATAGCTAAACAATATAAAATATAGGAATTGTATAAAATACTAAAAGTATCATATAACATTAAGTTATCAAAATCAACTCGAAATTTCTTCTTTCCCAATTTCATACTCATTCGCATTCTTAAAAAAAGTAATGGGATGACAACTCAGAAGTTATCTACATTGTCATCATTGAGGGTGTCATCATTTATGTCATGGTCGTAAGAAATTGCTCTCTCCTACCTCATCTCCTGTGGAGCTAATGCCTCCCAGTTTACTTCATCTATTTCAGTCATCATCCTCTTCTCTGAATGTTTGTCACTAACATAAATGTGATAGCGATACTCCAAATTAAAGGAGCTTTAAAAAATAATTTTTTTAATATCCCTTTTTTTGTTGTTTTTATAATTGGGTTGGGGTGGATGTAAATGCCCTGTTTCTATTACCATCAAATAAGTTAATGCCCAAATATTCTTCTTATAATTCAGATGGTGTTGACTCTTTTTCATCTTTACAAACCACTCAGCATATATTGTCATATCCTTATAAATCAATGGATCTTAATCTATCATGCACAGATACGGACACGACGACACGGATACGACACGATACGGATACGGGACACGTCAATTATTGAAAATATAGGACACGGACAAGGGTTGGACACGGTATTATAGTTTTTATATTTTAAAAATAGTGTATAAAAATTGAACAAGTATAATTTTAAAAATAATTTAAAAATATAATTCATTTAACTAGAAATTGTGCTTAAAATGATTAATATTGGGATGTCGAGAGTCGGGCATCGATGTCGTTTATCATTCACCAAGAGAGATGAAAATGCTGTCGAGAGTCGGACATTGATGTTATGCGATAAATATTGGGCGTCAATATTAAGAGGGCGTTTATCGTCGATGTTGAAAGGGCGTTGGTCATCGATGTTGAGAAGGTGTTGGACAAAAATAAGATGTCAAGTTATGGGTGTAGAAATTGCTAGCACCGAGCATCAATGTAAAGACATCGTAAGACTTTGGTGTGGAGATCGTTTTGAAATGTTGATGTTGTAATGACATCAGATGTTGATGTTAAAATGATATCGAGCATTGTTGTGAAATCAAAGTAGTAACCCGCCAAAGAGAAATGAAAATGAGAATATTCGATGAATGGGGTTTTAAGTGCGAATGATTGATTTGGTATTGTGGGTAAAAAAATAAGAAATTTAGAATTTATATTTTAAATAAGTAAAAATTTTAAATTCAAGAAATTATATTTAAAAAAATTCATAAAATATTTAAGATACATGTGTCGGACACGGGTGTTCAATTTGTATTTAATATTTTTTAATCGGATACGTTTTCGGCGTGTCCGACACGTGTCGGAGGAGTGTTGGACATGTGTCATGTCAGATACGTGTCGGACACTGCACACCTCTTTGAGGAAAAGTGTCGGTGCATCATAGATCTTAATCATTCTTTAATCATTTTGTCTTCAAATTTATATCTCTTAGTCTCTTATTGCCCATAATATACACCAAGGAATTCATTTTTAGTGTTAGATGATTTCTCATCTTTGTTGGCCCTTGATTGTACATGTTTCAGTTGTGGTCACGGACAAATTAAGAGCACATTAATCCTAATACCTTAATAGAAGAATGTTATAGTTCTAGAGTGCCGTCACCAAATTGTATCCACCACTCGGGCATGGCTTTGCTCGGTTCTGTTCGCGGAAGCTTGCTCGTGTGGGTTTAGAGCTGTAATTGAACCGGGCGAACCGGCCTTTACACGAGGAAGCTTCATGAAGTGACTCTTTTGAAACTATACTTCACGCAAAGTCGAAGCAGCAATGCTAGAGGAAAAGCAAACCGTGGACGGGCCTAAAGGCTAGAGGACGATGGAATGCATGCAAAAGTCGAACAACAATGAAGAACACATTTAGTTTAGGTTTATATTTTTATTAGAAATAAAATAAAATTGGTGAGGTGTGCACCTCACAATAGCAAAATGAGGCGTATGCCTCACATGAGGCATGCGCTTCAAAGCGTTTTTGGTTCGAATTATGCTGCGGTGTGTCTTGTATTGTGAAATTTTAAACATTGAAAACACCAAAATCTTATTTTATGCAACAGTAATGATTAAAAAGTCTCAAATTTCAATCGAAGATAATCATTATCAAAATCAGCCAAAATAATAATAATAATAATTATGAGCAAAATAAGAATTATCTTAATTTAATTCCTGCGAAATGAGAATTTTAAGCCCCAATTCTACAATGTTCTCTGAACATGAGCAGCAGAAAAAATTAGTTAGCTTTTCGCAACTTGTCTCGTTCTAATATTCGGAATGTTCAATACTGGCATTCGCGTCATGAAAATTTATAGATTCAACACCATCAAAATGCAATATCATTATCATACTATTCATGGGTTCATGGCAATGGTGCTGGGATGCTTACCCCGATTTAATCCCGTCTGTTTCCTCATTATTGAAAAAAAAAACAAAATCAAATTACTTTCAAAATTTTAGCCGTTAGTATGTTCTTTTATGTCAGCACGAACGAGTCTTTTAGTAAAGCCTTTGAGGATTTATTTGAACAAATGGAGCCATCATCAGATTCCCCTAAAATCTAAATTTGTTCTGACAGAAATCTTTGTATGTTAAAAACATTTTTCCTGCCCAAACCTGAATTCAGTTCGGTTGAATAATTGCATGTTTCCTTTTCCTGCCAGGTCCCTTTATTCGCAAACATGGATGAGCGGTTGCTTGACGCCATTTGCGAACGGCTGGTACCTAGTCTTTACACTGAGAGCACTTACATTGTCAGGGAAGGAGACCCTGTGGATGAAATGCTGTTCATTATTCGTGGTCGCCTCGAGAGTGTGACCACTGATGGTGGGAGGAGTGGCTTCTTCAATAGAAGTATCCTTAAAGAGGGAGATTTCTGCGGCGAGGAACTGCTCACCTGGGCTCTAGATCCAAAAGCTGGAGCAAACCTCCCTTCTTCCACCAGAACGGTGAAAACCTTGACTGAAGTAGAAGCTTTTGCATTAATGGCTGATGAATTGAAGTTTGTTGCCAGCCAGTTCCGGCGACTCCATAGTCGACAAGTACAGCACACATTTCGCTTCTATTCACAGCAGTGGAGAACATGGGCAGCTTGCTTCATCCAAGCTGCATGGAGACGGTATTGCAAGAGAAAACATGCCGAGCTGCGGCGAAGAGAAGAAGAGGCAGAGCTCATTGATCAGTCAGGTTCCTCTCCAAGCCTTGTTGCAACGATATATGCCTCTAAGTTTGCAGCTAATGCCCTTAGAGGAGTTCATAAGTTCAGGAATCAGAGTGGCAGTAAGTTGGTTAAACTGCCTAAGCCTCCAGAGCCAGATTTCTCCGTCGATGAAGCAGATTGATTGAGCTGGAGAGGTGGCAATTGGCTTCTTTTTTTATTTAGAAAGGATTTGTGTAAGATATGGTGTGAATTTGTAGTGCTTTATTTCATAGTAACTGCTTTTAGTTATTTCATGAAACGGATCATTCAGAGGGAAAACTGTAACTTTGAAAAATTACTTTTTGATTGATTATAAGTGTGAACAGATTTCTGTAATAGGAATTCTGTGGTGCTGTATTTTATCTATTTATTTGACTATTGTTTATTTTCTATTTTGTTTTACTGTACTTTTATTGTTCATAAAGATAAATCGGACGGTTCTCTGTGTCCAGCCTCCGTATATAATAATTTCTCTATTTTTTTGTTCTGATTTTTTCTTCAAAAGGATATGTAATAATACTAAGGATTTACTTTTTCTTTTTAGCATAAGCCTAAACTCAACTTGAGACAAACTTAGGTTGGGTCATTAATATTAGATCTCAGTTAAATTTTGATTTGATTTAAATTAAGATTTTTTTTTAATTTTGTAAAATATTTTAAATCATTAACAATTATTTTTTATTTACTAATTATTATTATTTATGAAAAAATATTAATATATCATTTACAAATATACATTATAAATGAATATATATATATATATATATGATTTATCAAGCCAAGGTTGACTTAGGTTCCATTTGAAATAGTTTTCTTGTTGCTTTCTTTCTAAGATAATTTTTAGTAAAAAATTTATAAAAAAAAAATTATTAAAATTTTACTTTAAGAAAAATTAAAAAATTCATGGCAAATGAGTCTTAGTAGTATGGTCAATAATAATTTATGAAAACGCTTAGTATAATCTTCATTGACAAGGCATTTTAGTTTACCTCGAGGATAAAACCTCTTGAAAATTAGATGTTCAATACCTCCTTTGATTTTGTTTGAAAAATAGCTGACATCAAATTCATTTCTGATTTACTTCATGAGAATCATCTAAATAAGCATAGAATTCTAAAATATTTGACACCATATTTTGAATATACAATTGGAATTACCCTCTTTTCAAACATAACTTTATAACTAATTTGACCATCTTTCATTTTTGTGAGATGAGAATGATACGCTTCCTTCAATGAGGCTATGATGATAATTTAGTGGCAACTCTGCTTGTGCTACTTATTCCTTGACCAACTCTTTAGGGTTTTAGAATCTTTTCATTGCCTTGACTTTAAGCGTACAATCATTGGACTTCAACATGATGACAACAAGATTATAAGAGTATGAAAAGTTAATAAAAAATATGAGAGAGTCGGTATAGGATGAAAGGCGCTCTCATGCGGAGTGATAATGGTCTCACAATTAATGTTGGTCGAGCGATGGCGGTTCGACAATGGCAATTAGATAATAATAATCAAGCGGCGAAGGTTTGACAACTACAATCAGTGGTGATCCGACGACGAAGGTTAGACAATGACAACGACAATCATTGGAAAGCAAAGGTCTGCGGCAATCGGGTAGTGATGGCTCTAAGGCGAAGGTTAGGTGATGGTTGGATGACGAAGGTCTGATGGCGATAGTCTAGTGACAAAGGTATGATGTTGGCAAATGTACGACTGTGAGGATTGGGTGGTATTCCAATGATAGTGGTGCTTGATTGGAGCTTTGAGATTTTTCAAACCTTTAAACTCTCTTGAATTATAATCAAAGATATGCTTCAAGCAGAAAATAAAAGACCAAATTATAAATTTTTTAGAGTATTGAATCTCATACATATAAAATAAAATAGGTAACATTTCATCTGGTAGCAACTGGCATAATGCTTTAAGAATTAAACAATATTGAGCTTATTGAATTCATTTAAGGAATTTAATAATATTGAGCTTATTGAAGTCATCTCAGCAAGACCCTCAATTTGATTATAATAATGTCAAATTTGGAGATCATTTGATCCCTGCTTACTATTCCAATATTTTCAACTATACATCAAGCTTTTGATATAAACTTATTTGGACTTTGAATTCATCTGGCCAAGCCACTCAATTTAACTATAAATTTGTCAAAATCAGAGTATATATGTTCTTGAATTTAATTTTAAAAAACCTCCCATTCAATCGTGCATCAAGATTCATACATAATTAAGCTTATTTCTTACGACTAATCAATGATCATTCTAAGATATCATGCACAAGTGTATTACATCAGATTTCCAATTAAATATATTGAACACCCAACTAATAAATGTTGGAGGATATAAAAACACACTTAGGCTTCGTTTGGGACGGCTTTGTTACTGTTTTTTAAAACGGAGTTCTAGTTCAAAATTTTAAATTTTTGTACTAAAACTCCGTTTTAAGATCCAAAACCAAGTACAGGAAACAAATTTCCTTCTTTATGGGAATATGAACATGTTTTATCAAGTGGCTCACGATGAGACATTATTACACTTATTCAACACACTAGACAACCTATGGTCTTTTGAGCAGAAAAACTCGTTGATTAAGGAATCATTTGGGACGATTTTTTATTGATTTTTAAAACAATTTTTAGTTTAAAAATTAAATTTTTTATACTAAAAAACTGCTTTAAAAAACAGTAAAAACGTCATCCCAAACAAAGCTTAAACTTGATCACAAAACTGGCTGGAAAAGCATAAAATTCAAGCTATAACTCACAAGCTTGTAGATACATAAATTGGAGCTGGCAGGAAAGGGAAGGGAGCAGCCGACGCATATGCTACAGGCGGTCGAGCGGCTCGAGAATAAGTGGCTTGAACTTTCCTTTCATCATTCATGGATTCTTCACTCTCATAAATCAAAAGTTTCTCAGTTGGACTTGATTCAACAATTAAAGGTTCATCTTCAGTTCTAGGCAATCTATGCAAAAGCATTCCAGACATAAAGACTGGAAGATAGAGAAGGCTTGCATGGAACATCCTCCTGGCAGTTTTGGCCGTTCTCTCACGAACAAATAGCAAAGCTGCCGTGCCCATGAACAATGTGATGAGAGAAGATTCTAGAGCAAACCATTTGGAAGTGATGCCCCCTGTAAAAAAGTTGCCAGCGTGAAGCACTTGTGCTACATAATCTACGTTTACAAGGTATATTTAAGAGAATAAGGAGAAATTTACAATAACATTGATAAATGATGTACGCTTGGTGAAGAAGTACGTTTTTTAAGTTGAATATATAAATATCATTGAGCAAAGAAATATTTGATCAATCATATCACACCAAAAACACTGCCATTGTCAGATCATAAGTCCTGGATGAGAAAAATGGAGGGTTGCGTTAGGTAGTCGACAGCCAGCGTAAAATTTGTCGAATAATTATGACATGAATCCTTTAAACGTAAAAAGATTCATGTAGCCGACCCCACGTAGTGGGATAAAGGCTTGATGTTGTTGTTATTGTATATCACACCAAAGTAGGCAAATTTTGGTTACAATTTATGCAGGCAGCGGCGTTTGGATTGCACGAAATCTCTACCTGGGTTTGGTGTTCTTTAGTCAGATGTAATGCAAACATGAATGCCTGAGTTGAATCTAGTCATCCTAATAAAGCCATGCACCTCGACATTAGCGTTGGTGCTAGCTCTCCATGGTGATTTCATGGCCAGTGAGAGGGCTATTGAGAGTAGACATGAAAAGAAAAAAAAAACATCCATCCTGCCAGAATCTTGATGCATGGGATTTATCAAAATAGAGAGATTCCTGATGGGATCCTACAAAACAAGGGCACTTGCGATCCCATTTCTAAACCTACCATGATTCTGCAATTTGACGGGATTCCCCAGTCGGATCAAAATGCTTTAGGTATTCCATGCACATCGGTTAGCAGATATAGGATCCCATGCGAACTCATTGAATACAGCTAGGCCTGCTAGTAAAGGGAGCTAATGATGCATAGGAATGAATGAGAAGGATGAAGGCCATCATTAGGAAGATAAATTAGTTATATTTTAGATCAATTAATCCTGATTATCCTAATTCCTGATCAAAAGAATTGTGGATTTGCATATCAACCTTTAAAAGAATTGCCCGGTTTAATCAAAGGGGTTCAACTATTTTTCAGAAACTTCCCAAAAATAAATAGAACGAGGTCTGTGGATTTGCGTATCAACCTTAAAAAATATTGCCCTTTTTCATCAAAGGTGTTAAACTCCAGCGAGGTTTTAGAAACTCCTAAAAATAAATAGAATTAGGTCATTCGGAGTTCAGATAAGCACTAAATACTGAAGTTGTGCACCCCACCCCCCGCCCCCCTTATACCCATTTACAAAAAGAATTCAAAACTTAGCAACTAAGCATTTAATTTGAACTTCAACATGGTAAAATTAAAAACCTTATATTCTCTTATTGCATTATGAATGTAAATAATGATTCATGATGTAATTGGCCTCAACCATTAGAAGAAGCGTACAATGTGTAAACGCAAATAATTTATGGTAAGGTAGAACTCACAATCATAAGCTAGAAATCCCAAGGGAAGCAGATAGAGGCAGTTCCGTAAAGAAACCCATGAAGTTCTCCAACCAGAAACATCAGCAAAAGAAAGCATCCGGAACCTGAGTCAACAATTGCATTTGTTCAGACAAGAGACCATGCCCACCGGAAAGGAAAAAAATTAGCATATTTTCATTAGACTTTGTTTAGACATGAGACCATACCCTCCAGAAACATAGTCATTCCGACACAAGTAGGCAAGGGCCATAAAATGAGGTATCTGCCAAAAATATAAAGCAGCTGGAAGAAGCAATGCATTGAGTGAAACCTCACCAGAAGCAGCAGCCCACCTAAAAATAAAGTTCATCTGGTCAAAAGCTATGAATTTCTAAATAATTCTAAAACTAAATTAGAAAATGCATAGATAAAGATAATGCATGTTCATCCAAATGGAAATCATCACAAAGTTAACTAGAATTAAAGAAATTGTAGTATTATATATCCCACTAGCAACAAAAAGAGATCAACTGGGAGGTTGGGATGCAAGCACATCGAAAGAACAGATGTCTGCAACAAGTTCTGACACCGAGATTTTTCAGAAAACCGCAAGTGAAAAAGAAGGAAATCAAAGATTTAAGTATATTACTGGTTAACTGGAAATTGCAAATAATTTACAAAGAATAAAGTTTTGCTCCTGAGAAAGTGATTAGAGGACCACACCTTGTGATGTGAAACGTACAAGTATGGATGATTAAATTAAGAAAGTTTGTGATGTAGAACGGGTAGGAGGATTGAATCATTCTAACCCGCCATTCATGAGAGCTAGGAAACACTCTCTTCCTTGTCTTGCTTAGGGCTCTTGAGATGAAGGAAGAGAAAGGAGATTCTCTTGAGTTGGTGAAAAAGATGAGAGCCAACCCTCAAAGAAAATATGAAAAGTTTCATATTTCTGTTGGAGGAGAGCCTAATTGAGAGGAGCAATGAAATCTGGATTTTAAAAAATTATTTCAGCAAGGGGCCAGGCCGTATGAGGTGGTGGGAGGAATAAGGATTTATTTCCTAATCCTGAAGTCAGGTTTTAGGAAGTAAATTAAGGCTTTTGCTTTTGTAAAATTCGGTTCCTGAGATTGGGGAAATAGGCTTGATTTTGAAGAGAATAAGTGGGGAGAGAAGAAACCCAAGGGAAGCCTTGAGTGCTTCGGCTAACAGCAGCTTAGCCCATTCATTTCTTTCCCCAAATCTGCCTTTCCCGTGGACAGATTTTGAAAATTTCAGCCAGCTTGGATGGGAACGTAATTGGGTTTTGATTGACTGATTGGTGGAGTATTAATTACTCAATTAATTCAGAGGAAATAAATTAAAACCCAAGCCAAATGAAAGGGGAAAACGGGTATGAGAGGGAGGAAATTAATTTCCTATCCAGCAGCAATCAAGTTTTGGAAACTTTCCAAAACAATAAGCTGTTACGGGAAAAGGCTCCAACTCAAATTCTGTAGTGAATTAGGAAAGAAGATATGAGGGGGAGAGCAAGGCCAGCAACATGGAGGATAGGATAGGAAATATGAGAGGAAGGGGTCCTAATACAAAACCACTAGCCTATAAATAGGCTCAAGAAGAGAAAAGAAATAAAAGACTAAAATGCTCTTCGGGCTACAATACTACATGACCACCCATAAGGGTAAAAAGGGAAAAACAACAATATAAAATAAACTATTACAAAAATATATAAATAAATAACTAAAAAATCGTAGCCGTTGATCTCCGATGTCCTCATCACCTTGCTTCTCTATCCAATATGAATAGATTGCAATTTACTGGGAAACATTAATGGGCAAAATAATTGTAAAATTGGGACTTCATGCATGTGGAGAAAGCGATAAGAGGATCCCACTTTGTTTCTCTATCAAGCTTATAAGTACATTGCACTTTAATGGGAAGCATATCTTGGCAGCTTAACATTGTTTTATAAATTAAATGCCATTGCGTAAGACACAAATAGAGGTAGTTTAACTAAGCCTTGCATGCTTTTCCTTTAGCAAGTGGTAGAAAATAACCACATCACCACTTTAAATGTTCTGTAGACTATGTTGCATTTAGGCAGGCCTCTGCATCCATTTATAAGGTTACTCTCATGAGAAAAGGCTATGTTGTTTTTCGAATTCAATAATAGGTTTAGATAGTCTGATAAGTCGAGAAATACAAATTTTAATTAAAACAATAAGATGGAACACTTTTGGCACTTTACTACATGAAATGAAGTAAAGTTACAGATATGGGTAAAGAGGACATAACAGCAAATAGTGAAAATTTATAGATAAGACAAGCCTAGCACATATTGAATGTATGAATAAAAAATATATTAATAACCAAAAGTAGAAGCCTATTCACAAAACTAAAATATATAAATAACATATTTTTAATGACAAAATTATGAAAATGAGCCAAGAGGGGGTAATTCCGAGTTATAAGTATAAAAACATAATTGCCTATGGATTTAATTGAATTAGGGCAGGGCATAGGTTGTCATCCAAATTTAATAGATAAAAAATATATCATGTACCACAAGTACCCAAAAAGTGTTGGGAAAATTATGGGAAAAAAAAAAAAGCAAAAAAGCAAGATATGCAAACTGGTGTCTTACAAGGTGTTGTCAACAGAGTGTCATATCATGAAGAAATTATTCTCTGCGGAGGCCGAACACAGAACGTCGTCTAGAGACCAACTAGAATGTGTCACGTCAGTGCTACCGAGCGCAGGGTGATGTGGCACATTCTAGTTAGTCTCCGACAACGTTCGGCGTCCCACATAATAATTAATCCATGTCATGGCAATCCACTTTAAGAATGTCCGTGTTTCATAGCATAAGACTGCTTCATTAACAGTAGATGAGTAAAATGCTATTTTGTAAGCTTAGAGTATAATTTAATGTTTGAAACATGGAAGTTATGGTAACATGAATTGCATTAAACAAAATGGAGTATCAAAGAAATATACCCAAGAAGTGGAGGAATGGCACCAACAACTGCTCCAACCCATGTATTAACTGGATGTATTTGTTTTAAGGGGGTGTAAAGAAAAGCATAAAGAAATAGATTGCTAGCCGCAAGCCCAGCAGCCAAGTAATTAGCCTGCAGACCTTGTCAAAGAAGGTCATTGTAATTATTAGTAAATAACATGACTTGAATATACCTCAGCAAATCCTTAACGAAGAAAGGATGGATCACATTAAAAACAGAGAAAGATAGCATTAATATCAAACCTTCCAAGCTAACAAAGTTGCGCCAGCAAAACCCATACTAGAGGCCCACATAACTGCATGAGGAATAGTAATCCGACCAGAAGGTAGGGGTCTCAGCCTTGTTCGTTTCATTTTAGCGTCATTTTGTACCTCAAAAACCTAGTTAAATACCGAGGAATTGTTTAGAAGGATGCGAGCATAATTGCATGGATAAATTTAGAAGATAAAGAGCGTGCTGAAGAAATAGACATATCCTGGACCAAGCATTTCATTTACGATGTAGTTTTCTAGATTATACATTGGAAACTTAAAGGAGCATAGCAGACAATCTGCTGTGTTCTCTCAAACCCACAAAAATGCTCAAGTTAATCATTTTTTTAAATAAAAAATATCTGTAATATGTAACCACGTCACAAGCCAATTGATCCTATAAATCAACCTGTGAATTAGATTAGTTGCCAAAGCAGCATGGTAACTCTGAAGCAGTTAAGAATAAAAATAAATGCCAAGTATCTGTTTCAATCGCCAAAAGGCCAAAACCTAGTGTTGTATCGTGGAATTCCATGCACCATAAGTAATGTCTTCAGATTGTTAAAAAGGTAAGCATTCCTGTGTTAACGGTTGCTTGCATACGGATGCAGAATTTTCTGCATTTAATATATTTAACATTTGAAACGTTCATTTATAATGAAGAGCACATGCATCCTTACAAATTACGTAAGAAATTAACTATTTAATAAGAAAAATATTTTAAAAAATCATACTAAAAATAAACATCTCAACTGCTAAAATGAAAGTCCGTCTTTCAATTAATTTGTCTTGATGTATAGATCGTATGTGTTTGACGATTGTAGACAGAGATTTATATATTGCCCAGCAAGAACAAATCCGGCTCAACTCAATTATTCAATTGATATTCATCATGTTGATTTATGCATAATTATTGTGCTTCTTGTAGAGTAATCTATATCATCATCACATACAGGGCTGCCACATCAATTCACAAGATGCCTTTGGTATCCACCAATAGTGAATAAATTTCATCATTTAGTGTAGTTTCTGGCACAAAAATTTATATGATCATCTTGAAAAATATTGGATGTACATTCTGAAGGAGATGGAAAGCGAGAAGAATCAAAGTATTAGGTTATGGTTCTTGATATGCGGCAAATCAAATACAAACTAAACTAATACCATAATTTTCTAGGATTTCTAACTTATCAACATTCGACTTAATACATGTGTAACATATAGAAATATTTTTCTAAGAAATACTTTCTTTAAAGAAAATAACAGACAATATCTTTAAAGAAAATAATATTAACGGACAATCTCTTTAAAGAAAAATAATACAATTGATTTATAAATTAGTTCAACAGAATTATGAATTTTGGTTTCAATCAGATAGATGAAGATTTATTGTAATTTATTGAAGCCTAATATAATGAATATGTTGGTATGACTTTAACTTCTCCATAACATTCTTTTATAAATTGTTAAATCAAGAAACTAAAAACTATAAATAAAAACAGTAATAGTTTAATTTATAGATATAATTTCTTCAGATACTTCATCCAGAGTAGTATTAACAAATTCTTTAATTGATTTAACAACTTCAATAGACACGATTTGTACAGTTTCACAATCAATGATAGATTCATATTAATCCCAGTTTACAATAATTGATCTTAACTTAATGTTTCGACTCTTTCTCAATTTTAGATCTTGATTCATTAATATGTTCTAATGTAAAGTTTAATCACATTCAAATTTATTAAAATTGGATGTAGAGTTGTCTAGTGATTGAAAATTATTTTTGGAATTAATTCATTATGAACAAAATATTCATGAACAACAATTTCTTCAATAGAATTAAATTTGGCCATACATAATGCTAGTGCTGATGTGTTTTTAGTAGGCTTTACGTGAGATATTAATTATTTTTCTTTTGGAATATTAATCAATGGTGCAATAGTCCTAATAGAAGGATAATTATAATCATTCTTAATTCCCAAATATTTATATAGTGCTTCATCTAATGTCTATGCTTAATTTCTTGCCTAAAATATTTTATGAACACATGACAACAAAATAAAATGCATAAAAATGCCAACACAATCTTTAAATATAACAAAATATACAAATATATTATTCTCTTCTTGTTAAAAGTTCTTCAATTGATCATACAATTAGTCTCTATAATCACTGAATGGAAAATATAATTCTTTAAGGTTATAATCGATTGCATCTTTTATAGCTTTTATTATGGTAGAATATTTTGACAAAAATATTGAGCATTTCTCTTTAATTTTGTTTTAACCTATGATGCACCGACACTTCTCCTCAAAGAAGCGTGAAGTGTCCGACACGTATCCGACATGACAGACATCCAACACTCCTCTGACATATGTTGGGCACGTCGAAAATGTATCTGATTAAAAAAGTATTAAAAACAAATTGGGCATACGTGTCCGACAAGTGTATCTTAAATATTTTATGATTTTTTTAAAAATAGAATTTCTTGTATTTAAATTTTTTACTTATTTAAAATATAAAATCTAAATTTCTTATTTCCTACCTACAACACGAAATCAATCGTCCACACTTTATACCCCATTCATTGAATATTCTCATTTTCATTTCTCATTGGCAGTGGGTTAACTCTTTGATTTCATAACAATGTCCGATGTCATCTCAACATTTACATATGACGTCGTTACAACATCAACATTTCAAAACGATCTCCATATCAAAGTTTGATATTGTCTTTACATTGATGCTCGATGCTAGCAATTTCTAGACCCGCAACTTGACATATCATCTTTCTCCAACGCCTTCTCAACATCGACGTCCAACGCCCTCTCAACATTGACGATAAACGCCTTCTTAACACTGACGCCCAATATTTACTGCTTAATATCAATGCTCGACTCACGACAGTATTGTCATCTCCTCTCTCAATGACTAATAAACAGCATCGACGTCCAACTATTGACATCCTAATATTAATCATTTTAAGCATATATTATAGTTAAATGATTTATTATTTTTAAAATTATACTTATTCAATTTTTATACACTATTTTTAAAATATAAAAACTATAACATGGTGTCCAACACATGTCCGTGTCCCGTGTCCTGTCCGTGTCTCCGTGTCAATGCCCGTGCATCATAGGTTTTAACAAATTCAGCCTTCTGTGAATAAAGCAAATTATATTTTTCAAAGAAGTTCTTCAAGTTATCTATACAATCGGAAAATACTTCTGATTTTGCTTTCCATCAAAGTTCTTGGGTTTGGTATTGGAAATATATAATGAGATATATCAAATCACACAAACAAATTCAGATTTGCATATCACAACCTGTGGGATAACTTTCATTACTTAAACGAACAATACAAAGTAGGAAAAAACTTGCACACGAATCTAATAGCCAATCATTAGAAATAATGCTTTGAAATCGTTAAAACAAAAGCATTAATTGAAAATCATGATATCATAGAAATTTATACTGTATCATATTTGATGAAATATAACATGCGCCAGTCAAATAAATATTAATAGAGACTAAATATAATAAAAAGAGAGCATATAGAATAAAAAGACAACAGAACATCAAATTAGGCCTCCCACTCATACAAGAAAATAGCTTCTCTAAAAAATCCTCAGACTCCTAATTGAACAAAGACTAGAAGCAATTGCACATACAACCAAAATTTTATTCAAAAAAGATTTACTGATTTTTACATACTGCAGATCCCATTTTTTAATAATTAAAATTTTCTCAGTTCTTTACAATTAAAATTTTCAGAAAATAAAGATTCAATCATCAGTTCAAATCCCGCTAGATACAAAATTACAAAAGTACCAACCATTAACTTCTCAACATCCACATGCCCGCCCCCTCCATAATCACTAAGAGTGGTAGGCAAAAAACCAATGAAAGCCGAAAGATGGCTGGGAAAGCCACTCAAATAAATCAAAAACAAACTAAAGTTAGCTGCAAATCAATCGCAATCCCCAATCTAGCTCTGACAATGATACATGTCTAATAACCTCAAAACCCCAAACCAATATCAAGTCCACAATAGTGATTCCAATCAGAAAACTAGAATGCAACCCACTCTCATGGTCAAGAACATAGCCAAGTTTTATTGAAAAGAAAAATGTGAAAAAGCCCTACTAAAAGGAAAAACACCCAAAGTACTACAATAAAAATATATCTTCAGTTTCAACGCACATATAAATTTTCATCAACCATACAATATCAATTATATATCAACGTTATATTGATCCACTATGCCAAAATACAAATATTAGTAATGAAATACTCAATGTCATGCCCATATAAAACAACTAACTTATGAAACCGGCAATAAAGTAAGGTTTCGATTGAAGATTGATTTTTTTAATCAAAGGTTAATATTAGGAATGCATAGTTTAGAGTTAAACCGAAATTCAGCAAAAATAAACCTCAAGATTGAAAAAATAGAATCATATAATTAATTGTGATAACAGAAACAAACATTCAAGACCATCTATTATACTTTCAATAGTATTCCTCGTAGTGGCATCACATTTAGATGGTTCAAAAGTCAGAACAGAATAATCTGGCACAGTAAATCCTTTACAGATCTAAGGTCCAAATAATATATAATATTAGAATTTCAAATTTGAATTATATGGTTAACTAATTTCTTAATAGCAATTTCACATTCAAAATCTATTAAAATTGAACTTAAAAAAGAAAAATCATGTAAATAGATTTGCCAAATATATATATATTAATACAAAACAGTTTAATGGTGACAGAGCTGCTTTTCAGGGTAGCCATGAATATCAAAGAGGGAAAAGTTTGTAGGTCCTCTATATTGCTGCTAGCTGGAAGATTCATATGTGGTCTTTCATGTTAACTTTAATCACACAGCATGAAATTGCTAAAATTTAAAAGCTCACTCTGCCACGATTAACTATCAAGTTTTATCTCAATGGCAAGTTACAAAAAAAGATGCGTCAAAGACAAGAAGATGGGACAACAGATGATAAATAATGAATTCTGGAATCCTGATTAAAGAACTACCTGATTTTTTTATTTTTTTTTTATGAACAAATTGCATTTCATTGCAAAGAAATGAAAAACTATTACAAACAAACTAAAGAACTACCTGATTTAAGGTGTTAGCGGAAGCAGCAACCATCATGGTCCCAGCACAAGTACAACAAAGGCCAGGAAAGTCTATAACATGACCACTCCCCAGAACATAACCTGCTCCGGAAGTTGCAACCACAAGCATGCTGAAGGAAATACAATATAGCACTCAACAATCATATCTAATATTTGGAAAATACTGCAAGAGAATCATTCTAAGCTTTAAAAGAAAGATTTACTAATTTATTCACCTAATATTTAAAAAATAGGGATACTGGGAAAAAAAAAACAAAGTTACATGATGGTTAATATACAATGTCAAGCAAGCAAGCATTCCATTGCTGCCATTTATAGCCACAAATTGTCATGGTAAGAGAAAAATGTCAAAATGATTCTTTGGATATTTGTATAGGGTAATTTTAGTCCCATATTATAAATGCATTTAACTTAGTCCATTGACTCCTCAAATTTGATTAAAAAACTAGTCATTCTATTAGATTATTTTGGATCAGATTTGAGCACTCAAGGAAGTAAATTTTAGACATTAGATTGCCTAGGACGAAAATGCCCAACCCCTTGTGTTAGTTGTTAACCCCCCCCACCAAAATAGTCCAGGGACTATTTGACATTTTTTCTCAACATAGTAACATGTTCAAGATATACCCCTAGTTACAACATTAAAGTAAAAAAAGGCAACTTAACATTTGTATCTTTCGGTGAGTCTCTCTAAAGCATTTATCCTGAAGTCATAAATGAGAAGTTAAAAATAAATATAATGCAACAACACATCATGTCATATGAAACTAGAGAGATGAGCAAAGATTTTACTGATTGATGGGCTTTACAATGCTTTATATATATATATAGAGAGAGAGAGAGAGAGAGAGAGAGAGAGAGAATCATGAACATATCGAAGAATGTCTTAAATACAAATGGAAAGGATGGGTATTTAGGTTCTATCTCAATCAAATTCATGCAAACCTCAAAACTTCAAAAAGCATACAAGAATGGCATTTTTCATCAGCCTAACATCCAAAGACATGTTCGTGAGGGGAATACATGGTTTGGCGCATACTTTACAGGTAATGCAAGATGATTATGAAATCCCATAGGAAGAATAACACTGTGCCCAATAGTGTTTATTTTTTCTTACAAATACAATTTGATACAAAATGAAACATATCTTAGAAGATAGCTCAACTAACTATAATAAGAAAATATGAAAAAAGAATAGCAATAAGACTTAAGAAAACTTCTCATAAAATTATCTTCTCAAGGAATGCCAAATAGTCAACTCTTAGGAGGCCAAATTGAAGAAGTAGGTTCGTCTCTAATCTAATCTTCAAAAGTTGCAATACTAAAAAGGAAGTACAATGCAAGATCAAAGTTTTCTATTGCGGGACAACGTTGCATCAAATCAAGTGGTAAAAAGGGAATTCTCCATTAATAAGAAATTGACTTAACCAAGAAAATTTTGAATTTTTTCATCAAAATGGCTTTAGTTTTTAAGCAATCAATATCAATTTCCAAGCATATAATCTAGGCAGCTTCATCAGAAGAGTAAGATCAATTGGTTAACAAATTCAACCTTTCGACTTCAACAAAAGCTTCATTTTAAGTTATGGTATTCCTCAAAGTAGTAATTTTGTCGAGCACGAGGGCTTGCGCAGAAATATATATATATTCAAATTTGAGGCAGATATCATTACCCAACCTCTTTTCTTAGAGAAACTTGGGCAAAGTTATTCACCTTACAACTCCTAGGGTTGCCCTGAGCTTAGTCCTCGCCCTCAACAACGACTACGACATACAACATTTCAAAATCAATTTTATCAATCTCCTTACAACCTTGAAAAGCGTCTGGAAGTAAAATTCCAACGGTGACTTGTTAGTTAAAAATATCCAAGCGTTCCTACTCAACAAAACTTGAACCATTTCAGAAGAACATCTTGTAGAAGTAACGATGAAAGTAGGAAGTCCCTTGAAACTCAGGCAATTCACAAAAAAGATCAAGCATTAGCAACTTCTAAAAGAAAATCTCCAACTTGAGATTCATTAATATAACAATTCAGTTTAGAGAACCATGACAAGGATGTTGTGCGTGACCCATCAAATTCTCATTAGAAGTAGATCTCGCCTCAATTCCAAACTCTTGAGTAGTACTTAAAAGTTCGCTCATAGTAAACTTGATAATATTTCTAGAACTAGTTGAAGGTATTTTTGCCTTCTCACCTTCAATAGAGGTGGTAAAAGAAGTCTCCTTGACAACTTCTTTATTGGCACCAGCTTCAAGGATAGTCGATTCTATAGAATTGAGACAATTCAATAAAATCAACAACGTTAGCCAATGTCCCTTGAGCAACAACCTCCTTAATCATATTAGAAGATTCAATCTTCCATTTTTTTTTAAAAAGCGGCGACTGTGACTACAACATCGCATCCATATAAGTAGCTTTTCTTGCAACCTTTTTCTTTCTTATGTTTTCACAGTAAAATGGAAATGAACTATGGACCAAAGAGGCCATCAAATTTGAGATTTTAGAATCTCTTTGTTTTTTGCAAAAAAAATAAGTAACAATAGATGCAGTGAAGAAGAAGAGCAGATGCTAAACACTGATATTAACCTAGGGCAACTATTTATAAGTTTTTTTAGTGATGCTGACGCACATACGAGGACAGGACATATAGTTAATTCATGATATAAATCAAAATCAATATGCTAGCCAAATTCAATTTTGAAAGCTTTATATTCTTCTGTTTTACTTGACTTCCTGGTTGCTATAAGAGAATCAGGGAACTAATGAACACCCAATATCATCTAGGTCAAATTAATCCAGTCAAATCGCCATCATGAACCAAATTTAGCAAGTTGCCAAAAATTTGAAACAATCTGTTAAGGCCTTAAGTTGCCCAATGGAACATTCTATTAAATTTGTTTAAATCAACTCTCCAATAAGCTAAAGTTGCCTAAAGCCATCGCTCATTCAGAATAAACTCGCCAAGAGAACTCAATATTGAACTCACTAAGAGAATTGGCGAGTCCCTCCCTTAAGTCGAACTCATCATGGGTTATCTTAGCACTTAGACAACTATTAGCTAGAAAGATTTAAACATATTTATGACATAACTACATTAGTTAAGTCTTCCATGTAATTAATCTATATTACTCATATGTAATCATTCATGTAGCGCTGAACTTCAATCTAATCTTATAAATAGGACGTCAAAAATAATGTGCCTGATATATTCTAATTGACTCAAATCATATCAACTTGCACTCTCTGATATAAATATAGTAATTTTTTTCAGGCCTTCTCTCTCTTCTTTCATTGTTAGAATTGTTATGTGCTTACTAACAAAGTTCTGCACCCCCGGATAAATGTAAATCCAACAATTACCTTCATCAGAAATGCTTTTTTTCCCCTTCAAATTCTAATACAAAAAGAACCTAATCTGTAGTACCTGAGACGAGCTTTGGAGAGCTCCCAGTAGCACCGTCCATAGTGATTGAAAACATCATAGATGCCCCTTGCCTTCTGGAATAGAAACGCCGGAGTGGACCCCAGAGATCCCAACACCACCGTCGACTCAGCCGAGGAATCAGCGGCGACTGCGGCTGAGCCTATAAATGCTCTCCTTCCGATAGAAAGCTTTCCGATCCCCGGCTTCCGCGGATCTGCCGCAGAGTGGATTTCAGAAAATTGGAGTAGACAGCTCCCAAGCCCTACAGACCGGTAGCCGAAGGAGGAGGAAGGGGCAAGGAAGGGTGCAATTGAAGAATGGGCAAAGCAGGAGACAGGAGTAAGATTAGTGTTACGGTTTGCACTGCGAGAGGAGAGGAGATTGAGACTCCTCATCACGGCGTTTCTCCACATTGTGGTGCAACTCCTAGGGGCTGTTTGGTAGCAGGATTTAGGCCGGATTTGAGGCGGATTTGAGCGAAATCCAGCGAAACGGCCTAAAATGCAAAACCAAATCTCATGGTAAATGAAACCCGCTGTAGGCAGAAAATTCCCTCTTTTCGTGGTAAATCCCAGATTTACGAAATCCTTTGGTTCGGCAGATTTACGGAATTTGGCCGATGAAGCGCGCAAAAGGGAGAAAGTTACCTTCACAGCAAGCGAGCTCCCGTTGTTGCTTCCGATCGAAAAATGTCGTAACTTCCGATCCAACACGAAGGGAACGTCATCTAAGGAGCGAAGTCCAACAGCGACGAAGAAGAACTCGTGCAAAACTCTACATTCATGCGAGCATGCGAAGAAACAGAGAAGGGAAAGGCAAAACCTAGACTCCGTATCGTTGGATAACTTAATTACTATAATTAAAAATATTAATAATTAAGTGAAACTAATTAAATAATATTTACATAATTAATTAAATCATTAATAAATTTATTAGATAAATACTTAGTTATTTTAAAATAATTAATAAGATTAAATATGATTTTAAATATTAGCGGCGGCGGTGCTTCTGCAGATACAAAGTATGGAGAAAAAACGTGGACATTTATTTTTATTTTTTTTGGAAAATTTGGGGCCTTAGCCCATATATTTCATGAGTGAAAAAAGATTACAGGTAAAGAAATTACATATAAAGACAAACCCACATAAGCAGAAACAAAAACTTATGCAAGAAAAGTAAGAAATAAATCCCAACTATACCACCCAATACATATCTAATGTATAAAATGAAGAACCAAAACGTGGTAGTTGCAAAATTTTGGATATAAAACTTGTAGATTTGATGCAGGCAGAGCAGCAACATTTGAAAGATAAACCCAGTCCGACGATAAAGCAGGGCAGCTCCAAAACATGTAGCACCAAAAAGTAAGCAGAGGCCGAATTGAAACCTCAAACAGCCAATTATACTCCCTAGCCAAAAGTCTGGACTCAGATTGTAAAATGTCATCATCGAATTCACGGAACCCTGGTTGCCCGAAGGCCGTCCAAGGGGCCTGCTTTGGGAGCTTCATCATTGTCCAGACAATGTAATCAATGCAGGAAAAACACGACGGGACAGAGGGGCCATGTAGGAGCACCTGCACTTTCATAATTCTTCTAGCAAATTGATTCCACCTTTCCATTTTGATATCTTTTCAAAAAGAGTCCTTTTGATACAAAGCAGAATAGAGGTAAAACATTGAAAATTACCTCCAAACCTCCTATTATTTCTTTCTCTCCAAGCATAATAGATAATGCAGCCAACAGCAAGTTTATAAAAATTCAACTTCTCAGAATTTTCCCCAAAAACATCAGATAACCATTCATACAGCTGCATGATTGAGGGTCTCAAAAGAAAACAACTACTCCCAGGAACGAGGGCTTTCAAAATAGAGAAGGAATACGGGCAATCAAAGTATAAATGAGAAACATATTCAGTGTTAGAATGACACAGATTGCATAATAACGGAACTTGAATCTGTCTAATATTAAGAGTCTCAGCTGTCTTCAATCCCCCAACTAAGGCCAGCCATACAAAAACCGTATGCTTAAGAATATTTCTTTTATGCCAAATCATGTTATACCAACCGTAATTTGGTAACCTATAATAATACTCATCAATAAAATGCCTGAATTTATAGTTCTTTTTGTTGTTCCAACATAGAGAAGGCCCAGCACTATCCGAAATGGAAATGCCATTAAAGGTGTTTTGTATCAAAGAAGAAAAATGCCCAGGTAAATTCCAGTTGGCACCAGCCACTAATTCATGTAAGTAATAGTCCGGCAAGGATTCCAAAGAAGCATCCCCAGTGTATTCCAGAAGAGTTAAGTTATGGCGCCAGTGGTCCCAAAGCAGAGAAATAGAAGCATTCGACGTAATGTTGAATTTAAAACAAGATTTAGCTTCTAAAGCGGTATTACAAATGGATTTCCAGAGTTTTGAATCATTTTTATGAGGCGGTTTCCAAGGACTTATGTATTTATGCAGCAGCCAAGAGGAAAGAGGAGTATAGTCATTATACATCCTAAAAATCACAGAGCAATTATAAGCGAATTGCATCGCAGAAATGGAAGGGATACCCAGTCCTCCCTTATGTTTAGGCTTACAAATTTTGTCCCAAGAAACCATGTGGAGTTTCTTAGAAGAAGAAGTCTCCCCGAAGAACAAAAAAAAAAACCGAGAGCTTTGCTTTTTGAAAAACTTATAAACAGATTTAGGTAAAATGGATCCCTTAATCCAATAAGCAATTGAGTTTTGAATGGTGAATTTCAAAAACTGTAACCTCCCAGCAAAAGATAATAAATTGGCCTTCCAACCATTCAACTTCATGTTAATACTATCCAAGAGAGGTAAGAAATCCACAATTCTAGGCCTATAAAAAGAGAGAGGAATACCCAGGTAGTTGATTTTATTGACAATATTGTGAATGTCAAGAGCATTACAAATGTCAAGCTGATTAACTTGTTGCTTGGGGAACATAATAGAGCATTTTTCATGGTTTATATGAAGACTAGTGGAACCAGCAAAATCTCTAAGAACAGAGTTTAAAATATTGCAGTTGTCTAAGGAGGCCTCCCCAAAGATCAGAACATCATCTGCATAAAGCAAATGAGTGAGGGAAAAATTATCAGAAGAAATACCTTTAAAACCTCTCCCCTCAAGAAGGTTGGAAAATGCATCCATAACCAGACAGAAAAGCTAAGGACTGAGAGGGCACCCTTGCCTCAGCCCTGCAGTGGTTGATAAATAACTCTCTAGAGCTCCATAAAGGACAATAGAAAAGTTGACATTAGAAATACAAGCTTTAATCCAGCAAATAAACTCTTTTTGGACATTTAGGCCGTTTAAGGCAAACTCACACACACAACGCATATACATAGACTCGAACCCTAAACCTCTTAGTTGGGAGCCTAAGCTCTCAACCAATATGCCAAGGAGAGTTGTGTAAAGCCTTGTACTTGTATAAGTAGAAGAGAATTTTTTTTTTTTTTTTTTTGAAGTTTTTTTTGAAGAAATGCAAATTGCATTAAAAAGAAGAAATAACTAATATAAACTATAAAGCAAAAAAAGCCTTATAAAACTATCATAATGGATATGTGATCCACTAAATCCCATTTTAAATTCATTGGGGTGATGGGGACACCAAATATTGAAACAACCTAAAATATTTGTTAGTATCCGAGAGTTCCCAAAGATAGAAAATGAAACCTAGTAAAAATCCCACATTTCATTACAATAATTTCAACAAGGGAAAAAAAACTACAAGAAAACCAAACAAACGACAAACAACTACAAGAAAAATAAAAAGAACAACTAAAACAGCTACCAAAACATCAAAAGGATTGCCATCAACATCCTTTGAGATCAACGAGCTCCAATCAAGTGTAGAAACCGCTGAAACCTCAATGCAACCAACAACAACCACCATGGACAAACAAAACAAAATCGATGAAGTAATATCACAGACTCCTACATCAAGAGTCCAAGAATTGGTCTCTTCACAACCAAAGTCATACGAACTGATAATCACCACCACACACCTCACTTAGGCAAGTAAAAAATCAGTAATATTCAATTCTTTCAAGTCTTCAACAAATAAGACTTGTTCTTCAAAGAACATCTCCATTCCCTTCAAGTCTTCAACCATCACGACAGGAACTTCACAGATCAAAACCAGTGGCAATCATACCAAAATATGCTTGTAACATAACTGTTCCCTTAATTGAAAAAGAGAATTTAATTCTTTTGTCCACAACCATAACAAATAGAACAACATTATCTCCAAGAGTATTCAAGAATCCATATGAAAACGGTTCTCCTAAATAGAAAGATCCACCTTTACCATCCAAACTCCCATACACCAACAACTCTTAAACATCAATCGATCACACACCAAGAACACAATCAAACCAAATCTGGAATCAAGACAAGAAATAAACCATAACAACTCCAAACTCCAAAAACCACACATAATAATGAATTTTAACCAAGCAGAAATTTCATTCCAATAAATACTATAGGCAACGTCAAGCCAACGAAAAACCTCCTCCAAAATCACTTTCATATTTGTAGTCTCACCAAATTCAATCAAGAATCTAATACCAGTAGAATAAACACAACTAGCACAACCATTAGCCAATTCAATCCAACAGAGAACCTCCATCAGGAAAAGCTCAGGCAAAACCGACTTCAAATCGGTCGCTACACCAAAATCAACGGGCCGAAGGAGAACCTTTGCCAGACAAAGCTCTCCATATAAATCACCTTCTCCGCAAAAATCCCACCGAGGAATTCCGTCGGCCTGGCCGACGGAGAACCACCGATCGCCAAAATTCCGCCAAAATCACCAAGATCACCTCATCTCCGCCAAGGTCTAGCCAAAAGAAATCTCACTTGACCTTGTAACTTTGATATAAAAATTGGAGGTCATATTTTTCTTTAGAAAACCAATCTCAACTTTCACTGATGAGATAATACGATAACTCCCTTTATTTCAACTAGAATCTTAGCTCTTATAGTTGGGTCTTTAGTTTCATTTTTTTTATCTACATGACGTGCTACATCAATACTTCTCGCATAGTCTTTGCTATAATTACTATAGACCAAACAAGCAATCCCAATTTTGTAATCTCGTCTTCTCCAAATATGGAGAAGAGCATAAAATTCAAATACATAGCAGATTATTTCAACCGAGCCTTGTCTTAGTTTTTTTTTTCCTTTTTGAGTTTTCAATGTAAAAACTCTAGTGTCTAATGTAATCTTCTACTTTATCTATGTATGTGTTGAATCTCTATGCAAAACTAAAATGTAAAAGTCTCTCTCTATCATAGTGAGTTTTGTAGCACACAATAAAACTTAGGGCATCTCCAACCGGAAACCCCATTTTTCACTCTAAAATGTCATAAAAACTTCAAAATGCAATAGTTCATTTCCAATGAAGCTCCATTTTTCTTTTTTCACGTGCTTCTTTGCGAAGGTAATCATCTCTCTCATGTTTCGCGCGCTTCCTGCGAAGCTAAGCAAAGTGCGAAAGTAATTGCTTTTTTCGGAGTAGGTATATAATTCAACATCAATATTGATGTCGCACTATTCACCTATCGATTTTTTGCATGAGATTTGGAGTTCAAATACAATGAATCGTGGACAGCATACAATGACATGTAGCTCGGTTGGAGATTATATTATTTAAGCATTGCAACACGTTATAAATACTTTGATGCTTGAATTCCTTATATTTAAGTTTTTAATTAAATATTATGCTTTTAATTCAAGTGTTTTATAAATTTTAACGAAATTATTTAACTGGTAATTGTCTAATTAACTGGATGTTTTAAAATACATTTATTTTTGAAATATATACTAATTAGAATGTACTTATTTTAGAAATACATTAATTGTTTGCTTGAAATCGAAGCAAGTGCGTTGAATTATGGCAGATAACAGCCAAAAAATTCGGTATTCGTTGAAGTTGCTCCAGGCCAGCTCTCTTCTTTCCTCCAAATGTATAAATTTGAAATATTTCAATATTGATAAATCAATGAGACCAATTTAGGGGTGTAACCAAGTCAAGCCGACTCGCGAGTCGGCTCGGACTTGACTAAGTAATAGGATGGACGAGTCGAGCTCGACCACGATGTAGAGCTCGAGGGCTTATCGAGCTCGAACAGACCTCTGCTCGACTTGTCGGCTCAATGAGCAGCTCGTGGAAATGACCAGGATGGAAAACGGAAATTCGGTTTGGGCGGGCGGGTGAACCAAAAACCGGTGGGAAAATCAAAATGACAGAGCTTGGTCGACGGCGGAACTAGGGACAACGACGGAGTTTGCGTGCTGCTCAACGGAGGAACTCGTGATGACTAAACTCAACGACGTAGCTCGGGACGAAGGAGGTTGGAGGCTCAGAGCTCGCGTGCTGCTAGCGGGGCTAGCTTGGTCGCGACGACGAGCTCGTGGCTTTCGACGGGACAACGGATGATGGAGCACGAGATGAAGTTCAATGACCGAGGTCGGGAAGGAGCTCAATGTGAGATGAGACAAGTCAAGCTCAAGCTCGATATTTGATAGTCCAGCTCGACTCATACAGCCCCTACCTCGAGCTCACGACTAGTTTGCACCCTAGACCAATTCCTTCAAAACCAAAACCTGTACAATTTTCACGGAGCAAGCAATAATATCTGAATTTCACAGGGACTCGCATGCAAAAGGCCCAAAATCAATTGTCAAATGCACAGTGAAGAAAACAAATGGATCAATTCTATATAAATATATAATAAATAAAACAAGTGCCAGCATTTCATAATTAACTTTTTCAACAAACTATCGGTCTTCTTCCTCAACTTCGCCGTCCGGCAGCCAATTTCTCTGCCTACCAATTTCTTTATCATTGACCTCTCCTCTACGCCTAATAAACAACAAACCCTTATCCTTCTTCCTCCAAATTCCCAATCGATTTGTCTCTCGATCCATTAGATTTCTTCCGAAAAACCTACAATTTGCACCGATTAAGCAGGTTTGGGAATTACAGATTCGAACAGTTCGAGATGAATAACCTTTTCTCGGGGTCCTGGGTTAAGGACCCAGGATCTCCAGGCAGCAGCATCCAGATGACGCGCTCTAGCTCAGGAACAATCGGCAGCGCCGCCGCTGCAGGCGGAGCCAACCTGAACAAATTCTTCGACGACGTCGAATCAATCAAGGACGAACTCAAGGAAATTGAGCGCGCTCATCGCAGTCTCCACGAATCCAACGAAGCCCTCAAAACCCTACACTCCACAGCAGCAGTCCGCGACATCCGTACCCGGATGGACTCTGACGTAGCCGTAGCCCTGAAGAAAGCGAAGGTGATCAAGCTCCGGCTGGAATCGCTAGACCGATCGAACGCCGCAAATCGCTCGGCGCCGGGGTGCGGGCCGGGGACATCCACGGACCGGACGAGGACATCTGTGGTGGCTGGGTTACGGAAGAAGCTTAGGGATCAGATGGAGGCGTTTGGGGAGCTGAGACGGCGAGCGGCGGCTGAGCATCGGGAGGCGGTGGCGAGAAGGTACTACGCGGTGACGGGGGAGGAGGCGGATGAGGCGGCGGTGGAAGCGATGGCGGCGGCTGAGGAGAAAGGGGAGGGGATGTTGAGGGCGGCCGTAGTGGGGGGTAGAGGAGCAGTGGAGGCGGCGGTGGCGGAGATGAAGGAGAGGAGAGGAGCTGCGGAGGAGTTGGAGAGGAGCTTGGTGGAGCTGCATCAGGTGTTTTTGGATATGGCGGTGATGGTGGAAGCGCAAGGGCATCAGATCGATGACATCGAGAGTCAGGTGGGAAGAGCGAGATCTTTCGTCGATCGTGGAACGCAGCAGCTTCATGAGGCGAAGCGGCATCAGAGAAATACGCGGAAGTGGACTTGTATTGGGATTATTCTGCTGCTTATTATTGTGCTCGTCATTGTTCTTCCGATTGTGCTCAAGAAATGAAGGTGGATTAGGGTTAGCGCATCATCGGCCATTGTCACCTGCAGCAAAGGAGGTTATATAGTTTATTTTTCTTTAATTTGTTTTTAATTTATCTTTATTTGACACTATTATTATGATTGGCACCTATATTTAGAAAAAAAATTGCTGAGTTGTGTGATAGAGTTTTCGAATATGATGGACTGAAAAAATATTAAATTTATTTTTAGATGAATATAATTTAAAGTATTTTAATTTTATAATGCAGTTTATTTTAATTAGTTGGCCGGGAGTTAAAGCTTCTAATGAAGATATCTTAGGTTTTAGCTTTTGCATATATGTGTAAGTTTAAGATCAACTTAAAAGCTCTAAAAGATCATATAAGTGTTACTTTTAAAATAAATACAATTATTCAAAAATTATATCAAGATACATAATTTTTTTTCAATATATCTAGAGTCATGTGATATATTTGGTATAGTGATGGTCATTTGTTTTGATTTCTTATCATGAAATATATGTGATGTTTTTTTTTTCTATTTTTAAAGCAATGTTTTAGTTGTTTTCGTTTTCAATTTTTTTTTGTACTGATAAGATGTTTTATAAAGCAATACAGGCTTCGTTTGGAAGGACTTTCTTACTATTTTTTTGAAGTAGTTTTTTAGTATAAAATTAAAATATTTGTACTAAAAAATTATTTTAAAAATCATTAATAAAGCCATCCCAAATGAAGCCTCAAATTTTGTTGAATAGTTGATGTGAAATTTTGAAAATTTGTATGAATAGAAGAGCTTATTTTTGATATATTGGTTTGTTTTGTGTGGTAAACTTTCAACTTTATGATGCTATTTAAAAAAAAAAAAAAAGAGTTTTGGAATTTAAATTTAATGCAGAGAAATTTTGACCTTGAAATTTTGACAATAACTAAAAAACCAAATAAGTTAGTGGTTCCCAAATTAATTTTATTCCCATATTGATTTTATGACTATTTTGTTACAAAGTAAAAGCATTAGGCGCAGAATAATTTTCTTTTGATATTTGAGTTAATGTACAAAATCATATATGACATGGATTTTTATTAATTATTATGATGATGTTATTATTTAATTTTTGAGAATATTTTCTTTATTATATATAAAATATAACAATCCAAGTGATTCACAATCACATATAAGATATTAGAAAGATATCAATCGAACAAGTAAAGCAGAAAATTAAGGATTTTGGAAGAAAGGATTAATCTAGATTTTTATTTTGGGGCAATAATTATTATTCCATTCAACAAAAGACAACAAAAAATTACAAAATGACCCACTTTAGTTTTATGTTTCTTTAGTCCCTCCCTCTATTGTGATTGAAGAAGATCATGACCTTCCTAACTGATCAAAGAAGCTGTTCCTATATAAGAAAAGAATTACTCCAAGGTGATCAAAGAATGTCCTCTTCTTTCTACTTTAGTTGTCAAGTTTATTATACAAAAGAAGGGGAACAATGGTTAATTACTTAGCAATAGAACATCTAAGATAGCTAGTTCCAGGGTATTAGAGTTGTTTGGTAGTAATTACTTAGCAATAGAACATCTCTAAGGAATCTTGATTCTTCTAAACTTTCACCAATTTGCTCAACTTTGTTGAATCCTCTTGGCAATTGCTCAATCCTCTCGAGTATCATCTAGATCCACATTATCTCAGCAATTTTTTTGACCTCCTAATCATTTCCTTCCGTTTATTGAGCTAACTATCCTATGAATCACGTTATATGTAAGGGGAACAATGATGATCATTTCTCTAAATGTGAAACTTCTTAAGTAAAAGAAGCTCAACTCTTAAATATCGAGCTGTCTTTTGGTATAATTGTTAGAAATTCATTTAAAAAACTCTATAGTTAAGCGTGCTCATCCTGGACAAATCTTGGGATGGGTGACTTCCTGGGAAGTTACACAAATATGATAATACTATGAGGCCCTTAGGTCAAAGAGAACAATTTCTCGATAGTTAAGAGTTTGAGTTGTTACAATTGGTATCAGAGTCATCAACCGAAAGATGGAACTAAGTGTCATATAAGGCAAATTGCTATATCATAGAAGCCACCTCTTGAACCCTGTATGGGACAAAATGTTACATGATATGAGTCACCACTTGAAATTATGGGGCCACCTCTAGAATTCTTTCAACCTGGTGGATGATTCTTGGATAGGGATACTGACAATAACATCATTCACTTAAGTGCGGGAGATTGTGAAACCCCTATAATAAAAGAAGCTAAACTCTTGAATATCAGGATGCCTTTTGATGTAATAGTTAGAATTTCATTTAAAAAACTCCACAATTAAACATGCTCATCCAGAAAAAATCTTGGGATGGGTGGCCTCCTGAGAAGTTATACAAACATGACAAAACCGTGAGGACTTTAGGCCAAAGTAAACAATATCTCAATAGTTAAGAGTTTGAGTTGTTACACTGAATTATACAATTTTACATTGGTAATCATTTGTTCCTGCTTGCTCATTATACAACATTTTAGTGTTGTGATGGGTTGACATAGTTCTTTTCTCAAATAATTGAGTCTTTTGGCATAACGATAAGTCATCAAGATGGAGTCAAATATCCTCAACTCATTATTTAACATTATAGGCTCTATGGTATGCATTTTCTTAGATCTATTTAAGGATCTTAAATGGCCCAAACTTACTTTAATTTTTCTTGTCTCCCCCTTCAACCTCTCCTTACTAATATGGAGCCACTCATGATCTCTATTTTCAAACTTCTTTAAATTATGATGGTTGTGCCAACAAATGTAGTTTTGCTATGATTCTTTTTTATTTTTTTTACCTATGCATGATTTTTTTTATTTCCTTTAGCAACCTTCCAACCTTCTCGAAGCCTTTATTTTTTCTTTCATAAAATATAGTCGACTCAACTAGAGAAGTCTAAGTTGAACTGATTTTGAGGTTTTTATCCCAAACATACCCAAAATTGATCTCAATTCATGGAACTATTCATTACTTTATAGAAAGAGAACTAAATGCATAATAAGATCTCTCATATGTTCAAGTGTTGAGAATTGAATAATCTAAAAAAATTCACAATTGTTAGATTAGTAATATCAATGTGGTTATTGATTTTACGATTGAATCATATGCTTCTCTTATAAAGTAGCATCTATTATGGATCAAAGTTCTTTTCAAAAGTTGTTGAGGAAATTATTGTTTTAGATGACTGAGCTTAATAGTATGAAGTGTACCCCAATGTTTTGGAAAATGGGACAAGCAATTTCTTCTATGATGTTCTATTTATAATAGATGAGGTCTATCATCTCTATGAAATTATTCACTATAGATAGAACATACAATTATGACCACTTATACTTATCAGTAGACCTCATAGAAAATCAATGGCTATACTTTCATAGGGGATTTAGAACTTGTAGTAGAACTTATGATCCTTGTTTTTTGTTGGAAGGCTTTGACGTGCAATAGAGTATGCATCATTTTGGAAATTTGGTTACATTGAGATGCATTCTTGGCTAAGACATGAATTGCTACAAATGAAGGAGTACGCAAGTGTGATTCCTTTATAAGTTAATCATTCTTTGATGTTATACCTTTTGTCTCATGTTCCTTCCAAAATACTTTATATGCATCATTAAGCTAGTATAAGTTTGTATAAATCTCATACTTTGGTGGTTGTAATAACATAATTAGTGAAAGCACCACCAACAATCAAGTGTACATATCAACCATCTTTTTCCAGGGTCATCCATTCTTCTCAACTTGGTGAAGTGCAAGAAGTTTCTTTTCATATGATGGATATTTTTTGTAGCACTTCATTGCATCTCTAAATATCATGCCACAAACCTTCCTTCTTCCATCAGGACCATGTAAAGTGAATATTCAAAAGCATCAAGATCGCTTGGAAGGTTTATGAAGATACAATAAGGTTAGAACTAGTTGCTTGGTTATTCTCCTTTTGAGAAGAAGAAAAACGTCCTCATATTTTCTCTCATTGGAGAATCTTTTTATTGACCTTATTTAGCAAATGCATAGGTGTGGCAAGTCTTAAAAGTTCTTGATAAATACTCTCGTATAGTGGGAAGCTCATATTTCGTGTTCAAGGCTAATGTTTGATGGCTATAATCTTCTTGGGTTGATCTTTATCTCTCACCAATCAACTTTAATCTCAAATAGAGTAGGGTCTTTTTTTTTAAGTCGTACTTCTTTAAATTCAAATTAGAGTTAATTCTTTTTTGTAAGATTGAATACGTCTTAGACATGCTCAAGATGTTCCTCCCATATATGATTATAGATGTGGATATTGTTGAGGTAGATAATTACAAAGTGTGTTATGAACAATCTCAAAATATCATTCATGACATGCATAAATGTAGTTGCCGCATTGTAGATATCAAATGACATCACCATCTGCTCATAATCCCCTATTTAGTTTTTCATATAACTTTCTATACATTGTCTTCAAATATTCAAACTTGGTGATAATTCAATTGTTGACCTAGCTCTAAGAAGATATTTGCATACTTTAGCCGATTTAATAAGTCATCCACTCAATAAAGCGTGTATCTATTTTTTACGATAATTTTATATAGTGCTAAGTAGTGTATGCACATCTATCATCCAACAGTCATTAGAGATTGAATGACATCATCTTACACTCATGTAGGTCATGTTTGATTTAAGCATAAAATTTTCATTTATATTCTTATATTCAAAATTGGAGATAAACCAATTTTAGATCCAACTAAGAGAAGGCAATGACATGCTTCAACTGATCCAAAAAGTGATCCACTCAGTGAAGTGAATATCTATTTTTCATGATGATTTTATTTAGTGTTATGTAGTTTATGGATGTTGGACAACTACTATCCTTCTTTGACATCACTATAATTAGAGATCTATATGTGTTAATCGACTTATTTACATTTTGATCTAATAGTTCAAATAGTTGCTTTTTTATCTCTTCATTCAATATCTTTAACTGATTGTATATCCTGATGTTAGGTATGATGAAATATGAGAGAATTTGAATATTATGCCTAGTTGCTTTGCAAATAAGCAATCTTCTTAGTTTTGAGAGAAGCTCTAATCACTCTTCTACCAATTGCTATAATTGAGGACCTCATTGCTAGGGAACCTTAAACAATACTTTTTATTATTGTTATAGTTAGATATTCTTAGATT